AGATGTTAAGAAAGCCATTGCCTTTGGAAAGAAGGGAGGGGTAATAACTGAGATGCATTCCTAATAGGGTCCTTTCTTGGCAGGTGGTGATTATACCATGTTTATGCACATATGTTTACTGTCAATAAAAACATTTAAAAAAGAATAGAGTTAACATAAATAAAAGAGTAATAAAATAAAATAGTAGATGGATTATTAGTTTGTTTTTATCACTATATCAAAATGCCTGAGGCAGGATACTTTATAAAGAAAAGAGGTTGCTGGGAACAGTGGCCCATGACTATAATCTCAGACACTTGGGAAGCTGAGGCAGGAGGAAGGACCTCAAGTTCAAGCCCAGCCTAGGCAACAAAGTGGGATCCTGCCTTGAAACAAAATTAAAAGGCTAGAGATGTAGCTCAGAAGTAAATCATTCCTGAGTTCAATCCCCAGTATGAAGGAGGGAAAGGAGGAGGGGGGAGAAGGGGGAAAGAGGGGGGAAGAGGAAGAGGAGAAGGAGGAGGAGGAGGAGGAAGTATTATTTAGCTAAGGTATGAGTGCTAAGGTATGAGAACATGCTGCCAGCATCTGCTTGGCTCTGCTGAGGGCCTCGTGGCAGACAGTATCACAACAGTGGGAGGACATGTGGAAGGAGGCAAGTGGCACATGTGGCAGAGAAATTTAGTGGAGATGCCAGGCTCTCTGACAGCAGTCTACTCTCAGGAACTAATCCACTCCTTGAGACCAGGATTAATCCCTTCCAAGGGTGGAGTCATCATGATCTCATTACCTTCCACTGGGCCCCATTTCTTGAAGATTCTGCAACCTCAATATCACTACGCTGAAGACCAAGCTTGCAGCACAAGAACTTTGTGGAACACATTCAAACTATGTCCAAACCATAGCAAATGGATATGACAAAATCACAATGGTTGTATATAAATAAACTATGTTTGAGAATTAAGGGGTTGGATGACCCATGTACCTCCCCGAGGCCAGGATTCAGTGAGATACTAAATGATTGGCACAGACAGAAATTGCTATAGAGCTGGCAAACAAAAACAGAAAAAACGGATGTGGTTCTGAGCAGTGGCTAACAGTACAAGCTCTGCAGCTAAAATGTCTGGAATGGAATCCTGGCTCTGCCACCCCCTGGCCCTGTAACCTTAAGCAGGTCATTTAACTTCTGTCCACTCAATTTTATATCTGTAAAATGGTAAGAATAATGGTACCTATTTCCATGCCTCTCTCCTAGCTCCTGGTGATGGAAGACGGTCCTTGGCCTACCTTGGCATGTACGTGTGTCACTCTAATCCTGCTTCCTTTTTCACATGTTATCTTCTTTTTATCTGTTCTCCTATAAGGAAACCAGTCATACTGGCTTAAGAACCCTCTCTAATGCACTGCCCCTACCGTTTTTTCTAGTATAGGGAATTGAACCCGGGGGCAGTTTAACACTGAGCTACATCCCTATCCCCGTGTGTGTGTGTGTGTGTGTGTGTGTCCGTGTATAAAATACATATTTTTATATATATTTTCAGTGCTAGGGACAGCTCTTTACATTTTTTATTTTGAGACAGGGTCTTTCTAAGTTATCAATGCTGACCTTAAACTTGTCCTTAACTTGTTGTCTAAGTTGTCAATGCTGACCTTAAACTTGACCTTAAACCTCCTGCCACTTGAGTAGCTGAGATTACAGGCTTGCACCCCTATACCCCCACACCTAGCAGTGACTCCAGCTTAACTGGTTACACCTGCAAAGACTTTATTCCAAACAAAGTTTTATGCACAGGTATGTATGTAAGGACTTCAACTTATTTTGGAGGGATTTTAACCTATAACATGTAGAAAAACTGAAAAAAAAAATGTAATGAATTCCCCTAATGCCACTACTAGATTCAAGAATTGTTAACATTTTGCTACTTTTGATTTTTCTATCAGTCTATTTTTGTCTATACTGAATCACCCCTAAATACTGCCCCTTCCCCTGCCACTTGCGCAGTAATGAGGATTAAACCGAGGGGCACTTTACCACTGAGTCACATCCCCAATCCTTTTTTAGGTTTTTAAATTTTGTTGAGAGCCACAGCCAAAGGGGCCCCAGCAAACTTCCAGCTGCCTGCTGATGATTGGCTCACAGCGGCCCAGCAACATCGAGCTGATTGGCTCCTCTGCGGTGATGCTCATTGGGCTGTTTCCCTGCCCTTTCAGACCACGAGCTGCTCATTGGGGGACTTTTTTGGCTCCGCCCATGTGACCCAGCCAATCGGCCTCAAGAGCAGGAGGATTGTGGGAGGTGGAGAGAGGCTTGTGTTGGAGAGAGAGGCTTGTGGGAAGCCGGTGGTGGCAGTTGGGGCTCTGAGGGTTTTTCCTGAGAGGCTGTTTTGTTTGGCCTGTGTGGTTCTAAAAATAAAGTTAGTTTCTTTTGACAAGTGGCTCCTGATTGTGCCCAGGCAGACTGCGGCAAAATTTGAGACAAGTTCTTACTAAATTGTGTAGGGCTTTGCTAAATTGCTAAGGCTAGCCTTGAAATTGCAATCCTCCTGCCCTCGCCTCCTGGGTCACTGGGATTACAGGATGGTACCACTGTGCCCAACAAATCCATACTTCTTGATCTTGGTTGCACATTGATACCATCCTGGGAGCAAAGATTGCACCTGCAAAAATTCTAATTTCATAGACCTGGGTGCAGGCTAGGAATTGGGGATTTTAAAAGTATCCTCAATTGACTTTATTTTTTTTTTTAAATATGTATTCTTCCTCAACTTCTAACTAATCATGAGACACGTGTAGCCTTCAGCCCTTAGCCTGATGTTGGGCTTCTGCAGATGCAGGAACAACTCATATTCGTTCTTCAAGGGAAGTGATGCTGCCCCCACCACAACTCCCCACAAGGAGAGCTTTTACAACTCTACTTTTTTTTTTAGAGAGAGAGAGAGAGAGAGAGAGAGAGAGAATTTTTTAATATTTATGTTTTAGTTTTCGGAGGACACAACATCTTTGTTTGTATATGGTGCTGAGGATTGAACCCGGGCCACACACATGCCAGGCCAGCGCACTACCACTTGAGCCACATCCCCAGCCCCTCAATTGACTTTAATTTGTGGGGAAAGTTATAACTCACTGGTTGAAGGGCTGAACCAGTTTTAATCCATGGTGTTATGCTTGTCATGTGCACCATGTCACTATTAGTGATGCCAACTTTGATGACCAGTTTAAGGAGGGAACAGTCAGAGTTCTCCCTTGTAATTAGCAAACAATTGTTGGGATAATAGTACAACATTTAGAGAACATTCTGTTTCCCATAAATCTCATAAATAATAGTTTTAGCATACTTTAGTGATCCTTACTTGAGTTCATTATTTCACAGGTATTTACAAAAAGCTGATTTTCTAAGCCCACCATTTTGCAAAGAACTTTCCCACATTAACTGAGGTTAAACTATAATTCCACCTAAAAAGGGAAGGAAAATGCCTAATTCTTTAACAACTGATTCTTAATAAGTTAGTGTAATAATTATCTCCAATATAGTGAGCTTTTCACACTGAGTACTGTTAGAGAGTTATTGATTTATATTTACTTTATATATTATAATCAATTACAACTATTCTTACAGATGCTCAAATTATCTCAAATTTAGCCAGGGAGACCCCTTTCAAACTAGCTCATCTTTATTTTTCTTTGCAGAGACAGATGAAACCTAAGGGCTTCACACATGCTAGACAAGTGCTCTACCACTAAGATACATAGCCCCAGTCCTTTTTAAGTTTTATTTTGACACAAGGTCTTGTTAAATTTCTCCAACTGGCCCTGCATAATCAATCCTCCTGCCTCAGATATACAAGTAAATGGGATTATAGTCACATACAACCTCTCCCAGCAGGCTCATCTTTTTGATAACTTCTCATTACTCTTTGAACATTTCCTTCCTTTCTAGTATAGAAGGTCCCAGGCTCACCTTGAATTTTTTGTAACATAATCTGGAGCAAGAATTGTGGAGTTTGTTCTAATGGAAAACAGTATTTAGAAATAAGGAACTGGATGATTATCTGGGGTATCATCGCATCTCTGACCAATTAACATAAATGGAAAATACATATTTTTTTAAAAAACTGAATTCATATGATAAGAAAAATGGTAAAATTCACCTAATGGCCAGTTACACCATGAAGCGCCTGTAGTCCCAGCTATTCTGGAGGCACAAGCAGAATGATTGCTTAAACCCAGGAGTTCAAGGTCAGCCTGGGCAAAGTAGTCATCCTACAAACATGAGGGTTGTTATTGTTGCTGTCATATAGCAACAAGAAATCAAACGTTTTTGATTTCTTTTGGTCTTTGCATATTTAATGGTGGAAGAGTTGAGTAAGTTAAATTAGTATAGCCATATGTAGGAATATTGAAATGAGTTTCTCTCTCTTTCTCTGTACTGGGGATAGAACCCATGGGCACTTTACCACTAAGCTACATTCCCAGCCTTTTTTTTTTTTTTTTTTTTTTTTGACACAGGGTCTCACTAAGTTCCTGAGACCCTAGCTGAGACTGGCCTCAAACTTGCAATCCTCCTGCCTCAGCTTCCCCGGTTGCTGGAATTACAAGCGTGCACCACTGAGCCTGGCAAGAGTATGTCTCCTTTAAAAAGCACACTTTGGAATAATCAATGACGTTGGAAAATAATCAAGCTCCATGGAAAAAATACAAAAATTGTACAAGGTGAAGGATTTCAAATTTATGTGTCCCTGTTTAAATATAATATACACAGAAAGAAAAAAAAAAATAGAAAGAACCATCCACAATGTTTTTGGATGAAGGGTTGGGAGGGGATAAAAAGTATTCATTCCATATTTTCTACAATGAATTAATAAATGCTACTTTAAAAGGGCAAAAAAAATACAATACGCTTTCAAACTTGGCTAGAAATTTTGTTTAAAAACTTCGTGAGAGTGATATGCTGTAGGAAGTAAAGAGAAAAAAGAACAGTGCAGGGTGGAAGAACCGCAACACTCTCCTGGTCACCGCATGGATTAGGAACTATAAGGAGAGGGGAGAGAGATGATGACCTCCACTAGGGCTAGAGCGGCCTCGAAAAGAAAAGGAACTTCCGGGGCGGAGCTATCTGAACCTCTCCCTTCCGCAGTGGAAATGTGGACCTCCTGCACTGTTAAGGTCCACGATTGCTTGGCCTCTACTTCCGTTACTTTGAAACGGTGTCTGAGATTGGGGGTGGCCATGGCAAAAAGCAAGTTTGAGTACGTACGGGACTTCGAGGCTGACGACACTTGCCTCCCTCAGTGCTGGGTGGTAGTGCGGCTGGACGGCAGGAATTTCCATCGGTGAGCGAGCCCGGCTGAAGGCCCCGTGGTGTGCCGGCGTTTCCGGGAAATCCGACATACCTGGCTCATGGTTACCACGGTAACGCGGAAGCCAATGAGCGCCCGGCATTGAGCGTCTCCCTCCGTGCGGGCCGCCAACCGGCTTGTGTGTGAGCTGGTCTGGGTAGTTAAAAAGAACAAGGTGGTTGCCTGGTGAGGGGCTGGCCTGGAACGCCCTTGTTAAGTGAACAGAAACCAGTTAGCAAAGTCCTGGCGGAGAAAAACTATCACTTCTCGGCACAATATTTAACTTTTAACGGTATTTCCCATCTATTCTGTTAGATATTTGAGAGCTGACTGTTCAGAGGCCGGAGTTGGCCTTCTTTCTTATGGGCAACAGTTTACTGTATAACCGTGTTTCATTATCAGTAACAGGCCACGTGGAATGAATTCGATAAACAAAGGAAAAAAAAGGGAGAAAGAAATTAACACAGATGGGAGTTTAATTTTTAAGAAGTGCTTTGTTAGTGATGCTTATTAGTGTGTGTGTGTGTGTGTGTGTGTGTGTGTGTGTGTGGTATTGGGATTGAACCCAGGGGTGCTCTATCACTGAGCTAAATCCCCAGACCTCTTATTTTTTATTTTGAGACAGGGTCTTACTAAGTTGCCAAGGCTGCCTTGACACTTGCAATCTTCCTGCCTGTCACTGGAGTTGTTGGGATTACAGGCGTGTGCCACCATCCCCAGCAATAACGATCATTATAATTAACATTTATTGAGTACTTAATAGGAACCAGGCATATTACATTTTTATTTTTCCTTTATCTTCAGGACAACTCGTTAATAATCAACAGGTTAATGTCTACCTTCATTTCAAAGAAAAGAAAATAGAGGTGTAGTGGCAATTATGTCCCTTTTTTCTCTGTTGTTCAAGATTGTAGCTAGTAGCCCTGTTACAGTATTTTCCTCTTGGAACTACCTTCATAGTCTGTGTTGTTCATGAAAAAACTCTTCTTTCCATGCTTTTCCCCCTCCTCTTTCCCCTGTGAAGGTTTGCTGAGAAGCACAACTTTGCAAAACCTAATGACAGCCGTGCTCTCCACCTAATGAACAAATGTGCCCAGACTGTAATGGAAGAACTGGAGGACATTGTGATTGCATATGGACAAAGTGATGAATACAGCTTTGTGTTCAGGAGGAAAAGCAATTGGTTTAAAAGAAGAGCCAGGTAATTTATGGCCTGCCTCTTTTCTTCAGAATATTTCCTATCAGCATCTATTTTTCTGTTTATTTTGACTTACAGACTACAAAGGATGACTGACATGATTAGTAACAGAGACCATAAAATTATAATATTAGTGATTCATAGGTTGGCTTTAGCTGGTCAGTATCTATATGCATTGCAGTAATACTTAAAATTTTTATTAAGGAAGATCTGAGTATAAAATAGACAAATTTGGTTTTTGACAGTATTTTGAAACTGTAAAGGAAACAAATCATAATGAATTAGTATGTTTTTAAAGCAGTGTTTTCCATCTTCTGAAGACTAAAGATAATACAAAAGAAAAACATTGAACCATAAATTTAAATCATATTTAAATTGGCATTAGTAAATAATAGGGCTGAAATAAATAAGCTACACCTAAAACATATATATATAATATATTAAAATATGTAACTAAAATTGGCCAAAATGTATTTTAATTCTTGGCTTGCTGGAAGGTTTGTGTAATCTCTCTGTAGCACCTGCAGGCCCTATCATGGTGTTGAATTAATATCATACATTTTCTCTTTTCTTGCTCCACCCAATGTGCCTTACATTTGAAAGTAAGTTCATGACTCATGTGGCCTCCCAGTTCGCCTCCAGCTATGTGTTTTATTGGAAAGATTACTTTGAGGACCAGCCTCTTCTGTATCCCCCAGGCTTTGATGGAAGAGTTGTCGTGTATCCTAGCAACCAGACTTTAAAGGACTACCTCAGCTGGAGGCAAGCAGATTGTAAGTGACACCAAATAAACAGATGTATTAAACCAGCAATTCCATGCATTAAATGTCTCAATCTAATACAGGTTTGACTCACATGCATTTTGTTAGAATGCAGTATTTTAAACATTTTTTAATTAGTTAAAAATATTTGAAAAATTGGGAGATTTCATAGAAGTACTCTTGTCTGCTTTTTGTTTTTAATGGGAAGATGTAGCGATACGAGATCTGCATTCCTCCTTAGTGATGGACACCTGTACAGTGGCAGCTAAATTTAAACACATACAAAAGCAGTGTGCCAGTCTGTACCATTCCCTGTTGTTTTCCTGGGTTACTCATTGTTTTACATATTTGCAGTCATGGCAGACTCAGTTGTAAGCAGGCCTTACGTGGCTATGGTGATATTTATGAAACTTTTTACACATTTGGCGATTTTGATTTTACCAGAATTGGAAAAGAGATTGGAATTATATAAATCAAATGAGTATTCATATTTATATAAAGTGTAACTGAAATGACCAAATAAAGCTGTTGTTAGGGAAAAATATGTTTATGCCTACTCCTTCCATTCTTTGTTTCTTGGCAGGACTTTGGGCAAATTATTAAATGTCTCTGAGATCTCTAGAGAAGAAAGAGGCATAGCTGTAGAAGTCCTCAAAGTATGAATATTGAATAGAGATTATATATGTAAACAACTGTTTTGTTCTTCTCACAGGTCACATCAATAATCTTTATAATACAGTTTTCTGGGCACTTATTCAACAATCTGGACTAACACCAGTACAAGCCAAAGATAGATTACAGGTATAAAGATCTTACGACTGTAATGCTTAGCTAGGGACGGTTTCCTGAAGTCTGTCCCATAACATTTTTTAATGTTCCCTTTCATGCTTCTTTAGTTCCCTTTACAACTTCATTTGAAAGGATATAAACATCATAGTAGCAATTCCGCCGCTCTTACTCTGTAAAGCCTGATGAATTTCTAGTACTTCTTGCGCCTCCTTGAACTTCAGCTATAAAATGTACTTGGTGGTATTGGCTCTGTACTCAGCTGCAGCCACATACTGCCTGCCCTCTTCAGACAGGGCCTGTGTGCTCTTTCAGTTCCAGAAGGCCTTTTCCCTCAATGCCAGGTTTGTGGGGCAACTGTCCTTTCTTGAGTGTAAAACCCCACTGTTTAGTAAGAGTCCATGCTTTGGTAGCTAAATAATTATACTTGAATCATGCTTCAGTATAACTGTATCCTGCCTTGGTTCTTTATATGTAAAATGTAAAAAAGAATAGTTCCTATGTCAGAGGATTATGGTAGAAGTGGCGGGATGCATGTAACACACAGAAAGGTGTGAAGAACATTTTAAATACTTTATAAATACTGGCTTTTCTTATTAGATACTAGTGCTACTTGTAGGATGACAGACTCTGAAATGAGGTAACGGATTGTAACTGCTCCTAATAAAATGCCCAGTACATTTTAATTACTGAGTAAATGGCTGTCATTTTTACTACTACCAATGATTAAGATTTTTTTTATAGCAGCAGAAGGAATACTAGTAGATATATTCAGTTTGAAAGACCCTAGTTTAGGTTTTGATTTTCTTAGAAAAATAAAGACAACCTTCAAGCTTCAATAATTTGTATACTCAATCTACCTATCTTTTTTCTTTCCTTTTTTTTTTCCCCTTTCCCTCCCTCCCTCTCCTTTTTTATAGTATTAGGAATTAAACCCAGGGCCTTACACACTAAGCAAGCACTGATCTATAGCTCCAGCCTCTCCTTGGAGGCAGGGTCTGTCTCACTGAGTTACTCAGGCTGACCTTGAAGTTGCAATCCTCCTACCTTAGTCTCCAAAATAGCTGTGATTATACGCAAGTGCCACTGCATCTGTCTGTATAATCTTTCTAAGCTTCAGTTTTCTCATTAAAGTGGAGGTGTTATGATGATCAAATAATAAACAAAATAGGTACTCAGTTACTTTTAGTTCCTCCTATCCCCTCAAGGTCTTTGAGTTGTGAATCCAGTGTTTGCTACAGAAGAGAATTTTATGAATATAGGCATCTAAATAAGATTCGAATGGCTCTTAAAAATGAAAATTCACTAGTAACTATGTTTTGTAGCACTGGCTGTTTCTTGATTGATTTGTACAGTATGGAGAAGGAAGCATTAAGAGATAACGAAGAGGGCTGGGGATACAGCTCAGTTGAGAGAGTACTTGCTTTGCATGCACAAGGCCCTGGGTTTAATCCCCAGCACCACAAAAAAGAAAAAAAAGAACGAAGATACACAAAGCTTTTCCTATCTGTTTGTTTCCTCAGGGAACTCTTGCAGCAGATAAAAATGAGATCTTGTTTTCTGAATTCAAGATCAACTACAATAATGAGCCGCTGATGTACAGGAAAGGGACTGTGTTGATATGGCAGAAGGTAATGCTGTTATGTTCAAGGAAAGTGGCAGTTAGGGGAAAAGAGCCCATGGCCATCCCAGGCTTTGCCCCCCTGCTGCCTGTATACTGATATGACTCCAGGTGCTAAGGTGAACTAGATCCTTCCCAAAAGAACAAGCTGTAGATTATGTATTTGGATGCTCATTTTGTCATCAGTTGTCGTTTGAAATCTCCCTTAAGTAGAAGCATGGGATTTTAAAATTTAGTGTACTTACTTAACTGTGTCATAAGCACTTCCCATATCAAACAAAAGAGTACAGTAAAGGTACAAGGATTGTTGTATTCCTTGAACATGTAAAAAATGCTTTTCCCACACTGGATAATACCATTAAATTATCCATGCTATGACAACTATAAAATGAAGCACTAAGTTGTGTATGAGGATTTTTTCACTTCCAGAAATTTTATGATTCTTAATATTCTAAAATGAGTATGCACATTTACTTAAATACTTGATTCTAGCAATATTTTCTCTTATCAGCTCTTGAGCATAATTATTTCTCTAAACTCATTTCCTGCCTTGCTATGTAGTTTTTCCGAAATGAATGTTTTCAAGTATTATTGGGTAGTTAAGAACTAGTCATTCTACTGGCAACATCATCTCTTTTATTAGTATTTTCAAAACACATTTGTTCTTTGGCACAGACTTGGTTACTTTTTAATGCAGGTAAGAGAGGAGAAATTCACCTTTAATTTTATAGTCATTGCTATTAAGGAACATGAAATCTCTTTTTTGTTCCTCATCATTTTTCAAAGTATGGTAACATAACCTTTTTTGAGTATTTCTGATTGGTAAAGTGGTTCACATAAAGTATGCAACTATAAGTATAGCAAGTACAAACGTGAACTTCCCCCACATTTCCCCTTTTCTTCCAAACCCTCTTTCGTGTTAACATTGTCACTACTTTGACTTTTACCTGTAGGTGGATGAAGTCACGACAAAAGAAGTTAAGCTGCCAGCAGAAATGGAAGGGAAAAAGATGGCTGTAACCCGGACCAGAACGAAGCCAGTACTCTTACACTGTGATATCATTGGGGATGCTTTCTGGAAGGAACATCCAGAAATCCTTTATGAAGACAGCTGACACTCTGCTCTTTAATTCTGCTGTGTTTAACCATGCAAGGCTCCCAGGTCTTCTTGCCTTAGGTGGCCCTAGCATTCCTGCCACCCAGAACTGTACCAGAAATGACATGACTTGAGTTAGGAGGGAGCAGGGAAGGAAGGAATTGATGGGGGTGGTATATCTTGTTCTCTTAAGCAGAACACCTTTTTTGCAATGTTAGAACATGATTTCTGTGGGTTTTTTTCCAAAATCGTGGTACTATTTTTATAAAGTAAGAACTATTTAATGCCTTGTGAGATGAGTCATTTTTAGATTGTGGCATAAGCCTTATAAAAATCTGTCAGCTCTTTTCACCTATGATAGAAAAGAAGCCCAAACTTTACTCTCACCCACATATTCTTAACTAGAGAACCCAGTGACTTTGAATATCTCACTTCTGTACCCATGTACTTGGATAATCTTGATAGACCTGAAGATAAATATGAGTTAAAACCTGCCTGGTGCCTCTGAATTCCAGATATTCCAGGGAAAACTCAGGGCTTTGTGCAAGTCTCCAAATCAGCAGTTTTGGCTGAATAAATGAGTAGTGGTATTAGATACCCTTGTGTACACCCTCCAAGGACTGATTTTATGGAGTTGCCAGCATAATGATGATCATCATCTTGCCGGAAGCATAGGCTAAAACCACTTACCTTTTTCTAAGTACATGTGAGATATTATATATATATATATATGAGATAAAGAAAATATGTGAGAATGAGTAAAAATGGAGACCATTTTTTACTCCATGTCCTCTAGATACTTCCGTTTTAAAAGCTGTCTTCCAGTTCGGCTGCCTGAAAGATTCAAAAGTAGTCTCTATGGAATCAGAAAATGACATTTGAATTCAAGAGCAGAGGGGTCAACATAGCCCTTGGGGCAACTGTCAAATGAGTCCTACTAACTCCACCTCCTAATGGGCCAATGGAGATAGGAGAGCTGCAGAGGTGATGGTATGCTGGGAGCTGTTGAAGTGTGAAAGGGGGCGGGTAAGTCATGGGGATGGGTGGTGAGTAGCTTTACATTCCTCTTGTCCTTACTTTGTATATTAGAGGAAGAAGATTATTTGGCTCAATTAAGATTTAATTAAGAGACAGCCCATGTCCCAGTTGCTGGTCTTGCATTGCAGAATTTACAGCCAAGAAGAAAATGTATTTTTGAAAGTGTGACGGATGGCCTCATCCTTCAGTAATTGACACCCCATCTGTCGATGCCATTTTTTTCCTTCCTGTCCCCCCACCCCCTCCACAGGAAAATAACAAGTATCTCATGTTTGGTAATTGCTAAAATGTCTGAAAAAAAAAAATAAAATAAAGACATCAACTTCCTTGGCCTATTTGTTTCTTACACAAATACAGTAAATGAATCTAACATTTGTTTGTATCTTTGGGTAAGCCAAAGGATGCAAATACCTTTGTCACAGCAGATACTCATGGACTTCTAGATGTAAAAAGAAAAAAGTTTTTTGGGATTTTTTTTTTAAATGCCTACTTGAACCATGCATAGGTGTAATCCCAGCAACTTAAGGGGCTAAGACAGGAGGATCTCAAAATTTTGAGGCCAACCTCAGCAAGAAGGAAATGTATTTTTGATTTTTCAAGACCCTGTCTCCCAACAGAAAGGGCTAGGAATGTTGTTTAGAGGTAAAACAGTTTTAATCCATAGTACCAAAAAAAAAAAAAAAAAAAAAACCAAAACAAAACCTGTTTGAGGATTCCCTTCATATAAACTAGGGGTTTAGCAATCTGATTTTTAACTCCAAAGTCTGCCCTCTGATGTATATGGTTGCTGTTATATAGGCATTTGGGCAAACAAGGTCCTCAGAATATTAATATGCTACATGAGGGCATAAGAATGTAGTTCTTAATTAGCAAACAATGGTAATTTGGTAGCATTTTATGTTAAACATGGATAAGTAGGCATTAAATAATGTACAAATTTTCAAGACAAAAAACACCAGGGAAAAATTTGTACTTTCTGAAGGTCTTATGAGACACCATGAAACCTGTCACTCAATTTTGTCAGAATGTGTGGGACAAGTATTCATTTGTTGGACTGCCAGCAATCCCACAGCTTTTTTGAGTTTTTGTTCAGGCTGGAGGTTTTATTTATTTTGGTAATGGGCATTGGTGGGTAAATGGTGATTTACCATTTACCTATATCCCAGCCCTTTTTTTAAAAATTTGAGACAAGGGTCTCACTAAATTGCCCAGGCTTGCCTCAAACCTTCCATCCTCCTGCCTCACCCTCCACAGTGGCTTGGATTACAGGCATGCACTGCCACACCCACTTCAGGTTACAGAATTTAAAGTAATAAACTGGGCTTAATACCAGTGCCTTAAGGAAACCATAATGCCATTACCTAGAAGCTAGAAGCCATTGCTTGATGGTCATTCTATCTTTGTTATGATATGTATTCCTTCCAATGCATATATATATATATATATATATATACACACACACACACACACACACACTTAAGTTTTATCTTAATTTTTATCTTGCTATGGTGCTTTTCTCTATAGCATTCTCTTAGGTTTCCTTTCCAAATTTTAAACTGTACACAACAGCAACCAGTGTAGAGTTATTAATACTAATTGATAGCAGTCTGGAAGAATCATTCTGGTTAGGGAAGGAATTTGTGTAGGTGACTGGAAACATTTTGGCCCTGCTGCATGAGGAAATATTCTCTAGTGTAGACTGTCATTCTAATATCAAAAAACAAAACAAAAAATTCTGCTGCACTGAGGCTACAAAATAAGAAGTTCAGTTCTGTAAATTCTTGTTCCAGTTACTAAGAAATGCTAGAATAAGCAGTAAACGGGCAGATGGGGAGAGCACAGCTATAATCCCAGTGACTGGGGAGGCTAAGGCAGAAAGATCTCAAGATTGAGCCTGGGCAATTTAGTAAGACTGTCTCAAACAAAAGGCTGGAAATGTAACTCAGTGGTAAGCTCCTCTAGGTTCAATCCCTAGTATCAAAAAAAGTGATTTTCTTTAATACCTAGTTCTGTCCAGTCTTGATGCAATTTTCTTTATCGTAGGAAAAAGGAATGTGGAGTGGGATGCACCACTCTTCACAGTTCCATTGTACACTACTGGCGGCTTGCATATGCATTTATTGTGTATTCTATATGTAGTAACTTAATCCTCAGGAAATGCCTGAGGATGTTAAAATGCCAATCTTAGGTTGCGCCCCCGGGGGATATGAAGTAATAACAAACACCCTAAGTGATAATGATATTGGGGAAGCCCCGCATTACAGCAGATTAAACATCAGTTGACAGCGTTAACCTGTAAGAAGTGCGTGGAGACGGTGCGAGGCCCCACCGCAGGCGGCAGCCTATTGCCACACCCCCTGGCAGGGCCCCAGCGCGGACTGATGCTGCCCCCCGGCGGCCGCGCCGGCGCAATGCGACCCCGCGCCGCGGCTGCGCAGTGCCGCCCTCTGGCGGCCCCGCTCCTTCCTCCCATCGGCCTCGGCTTGCGGGCCTTTCAAACATGGAGGAGCGGGAGCGGGGGGCGAGGCCGGCTCTCGCCGGGAGCCCAGCGGGCCCGCCCAGCCCGCGGCTGGATGTCAGCTCTGACAGCTTCGACCCGATGCTGGCCCTGTACGCACCCCGCCTGCCCCCCATTCCCTACCCCAACGCCCCCTGCTTCAACAACCTGGCCGAGTACGAAAGCTTCCTCAGGACCGGGGTCAGGGGCGGTGGGCGCGGGCGGGCGCGGGGCGCAGCCGCGAGCTCGGGGGGCCCCGCCGCCGCCGGACCCCCGGGCAGGACCCGCCGCCGCCAGGACGCCCCCGCCCCGGACCCCGAGCGCATCCAGCGCCTCCGCCGTCTAATGGTGGCCAAGGAGGAAGAGGACGGGACCGCCGGGGCACGCCGGCGGGGTCCGGGTCGCAGCAGGAAGGCGCCGCGCAACGTGCTCACGCGAATGCCCTGTGAGTCGGGCAGGCCGGGCGGGGGCGGGGCTGCGCGCCTTGCGGGAGGGTCTTGGGAGGGTTCGCCGAGGGCGCCGGCCGCGGAGAGGGGCTGCTCCAGAGAAGTGGATAACGGGGGTGTGGGGCGGGTCGCCTGGAGTCTTGGAGGGTCTGCAGGAGCAGTAGGAGGGGAGTGGTAAAGCTGCGCTGGTAATTAGGAGCCACCGGGAGGGTCTGCAAAGGTAGTACGGGTCCCTAGAAGTGTCTACGAGAGTGAGGAACCGCAGAAAGGGTCTGCATCAGTGATGGGGTACCGAAAGAGATGGTGGGGCCTGGAAATAGTTGATTTTAGGGGACATCGTAAGCTCTGCAGAGGTGATGAGAGATTTGGGGGACCATAAGGGAGAAGTTGGGGGAAGAGCACACAGCCAATATTAAGGAAAGGAGAGTGTCTATCTGGGCAGTGGGGTTTGGGGATCAGCTGAAGTGAGGAGAGGTATGTTTGGATAGCACAGGGACATGCTCCTACACAGGAAGTGACAGCTCATTCTGGATGCAAAAAGCAGGAGAAGGACTGCAGGGTCTTGATACACATATATTCACATTACTAGATCACAAGTGCTGGAATGCAGCAGGCACAAAATGCCACTAAAACGCGCACTGCTTTACAGCCACTCTGCCTGGCTGGGTGCAGGACTGTGTCTGTCGGGCTCCTATGACCATATGCGCAGGTTATTTTAAGTTCTGAAGGTGTAAATGGCATGGGGGAATTTCTTGGAGCTTCCTAAGAGATCCTTAGAGTACAGCTGTAAACAACAGAGGTTCTAATGTGTGAGTTAGCTGTTGTATAAGTAGAATAAAAACAGCCCAGGGTTGTATCTTTTGTCATCTGGCAAGCAGTTCTGACATCTGCCCTGTGAACACAGTGACCTACTTAGCCATTCAAAGCATCTGTATCCTGGTAATTAAATTATTACATTATTAAATATCTTACTTTTGAATGGAGGGGTGTGCTATGCAAGAGACTATTTTGCCTCATTCCTAGAAATTGGTTTATTAAGAAACAAGCATCCTGAAAAGCTGTGTGCTGTTGTGGGTGCCTTTGTTGGATGGTTTTCTGAGCCAGAACAGAGCATCCCTGCCCAAGCTAGGATTTACCCTAGCTTGCTTACCCAGCAGTAACACAAATGGCAGTGTGCTTGTTCCTAAAATGAGAGCAGTTTGAAGAACCTTATTTTTTCTGTATATGTTGTTCCTATTAGGTTGTTGAAATGAACACCAAGTCCCAGATTGTAACATTTATTTCCATTTTATCAGTTATTGCTTTGCTGCAGAGATTGTAAAGGGAAAGAAATATTTCTATAAGTGATTTTAGCTTTACTATGGTGTTCTTTACTATATTGGTATGTGAAGACCAGATTTACCCTTTTCCCATGGTTAAATATTCACTTGGGATCAAGATCTCAGATAATGTGCCCTACTCATTGAAAATTCGTACATAGCCCTGTAAACACTTGAGTGAGCCATAGATGGGTTAATATCCCAAAGAGTTGATGACCTTCAGAAAGCAAGGAAATGACAGATGCATGGGTAAGGATTAGGTTTATTGACAAAAAAGTTCCTATAAGAGGTAAGCTTTAGATCTTGAAGAAATGGCATGGTGGAGAAGTTTTATGGGCTTTTTTGTTTGTTTGTTTATTGGTTTGATCAGGCTATTTAGTGTAATTTACCTGTAGCAAAATTCAGTCTTTTTAAGTGGGTTTTGACAGGTGTCAAAACCTCCTAGGTTTGCACACTGACTCCTCCAACATCTATTTTACTTTAGGTAAGTTACTGAAACTCTTAGGCCTCATTTCCTGATGTGTTGAATGAAAACAGTAATATATAGTTATCATTGTCAAGATTAGATTGGTTGACACATTTAAAAACATTTACAATAGTAATGTTCCCTAGTTCACAGGGAAGTTTTCAATAAATGTTAAATGTCAGTATTATTGTTGCAGTTGTTACTTTTAAATTGTCATAATTAAAAGCCTCAAGTCAGAACACGTATAATTTGCTTATATTGAGAGTTGGCTTCCTGTTTTTAGATAAGTGTCCTCAAGCAAATTACTTAAATGTTTCTGAGCCTTGCTCTTATTCATAAATTGGGGTGAAATAAGAGTACCTATGAGTTAGGATTCTTATGATGATTAAATAACATAGGTAAAATTAAACTTGCCAGAGGGCTTGGCTCATACATAAGGTCTAGTCATGGATAATAATGATGGTGGCAGCAATGAAGATGATGTTGTTGTGGATGTGAATTAGAAGAGCAGGAAACTTGTAGTAAACCAATCATCTGATAAGGCTCTGGACTGACCTGAGTTGTAGAATGAGAAAGGACAGGTCTTAATTTTTGAGAATCTGTC